GAAGACTAGAGGTTGTACCTTTTTTTTTCAGTAGTGGGTTTTCCCTCAATGAGTTTCCTCACTTATGTTTTACCAAGACAATAATTTTTTTAATTTTTTTAGGGCGGTCTTGGTCCAGTTGGGATACAGGCAGGTGGCCTTGACCCGGTTGGGCCTACAGATGACGACATTGTCGCTTTCGGAGGGATCCCGGATCCAAGGTCCAAAGGTAGACAAATGATAAGCCGCATTCAAGATCAACCGGACGCTGATGACCTGCAGATCGGGTGCGCCATGCGGGCGACCAAGCTTCGTGACATTGAGGGCACCACAGGTTATCTTCAGGGCCACTGCTTTAATCCGCATGTGGTCGGTACTCACTCCGACGGAGGCCAGGGAGCGTTTGGTTACTGGGTCTATCCGATGGGAGATGGTAGCTCAAACTATCTTCAACCGGTTTGGAGTGGCGGTCATGTAATAACATAGGTGTTTAGTTGCCCATTTCTCTATTTTCTGCCGGTTGTGGCTATCCTTCTCATGTTTCTTGCTCTGTGATAGCCTATTTTGTTTTCGAGACTTTGTTAGACGGTTATTTTTAATAAATGGCCGCATGCATCGTTCTGATGTAGAGGCTGGGGCAACCCTCCTTTTCTAACAAGACAACAATGGCAACGCGCGATGCTCTATTTGCTCCTATTTGGTTTTCGGGAGGAACTTTTGACTAGACAAGTGCATTTCAAAATAATTAAACGTTCAAGCGGGAATATTAATAACAGACACCTATGCATATTAAGAAAAGTCCAAGAGGGAGCATTTAGAGATAGTAATTAATGCCATTTAGTAATATGGATTGGAACTTTTGCAACATATCAAAAGGTTAATGTGAGCTTATTGGTGAACTTTCCAGGGTGGGTTAGGCTATATAAAGCCATGATATGGAGAACTTTTATACATAGGTTGATTTACGCACAAGAGAATACATTTTTAAGAGAATATAATATAAGAGTTTATAAGTTTCTCTTTATACATACTCGTGCCCTTGTTCGCGCAATGTGTTCATTTGTCTGTTGAACATTCGAGTCAAAGAGGGAGATCAACAAGTGATTTTAAAACATAAATCACCATCTTATTCTCGACCCGTGACCAGCTAGGAAGTGCATCATTTCACCATTAAAATAAAGCAAAAAAATATCACAAAATCCATGCAAAGACAGCAGCAATACCATTTAAATTCAATTTTTTTTGAAGGACAACGAGATTTCAAGATGGTTACCGGAAATTCGGACTAAAAATAAAACATTGCTCGCCGATATTTAAGTAAAGGTGTTAATGACTCAACACAATATTTCTTTTACCAAGACTTGTCATGATAGACCTTGTAGTTGAAAACCAAGAAAAACACATGGCAAGGGGGGAACGGTTGTCTTGTCCCCACCGGCCACGGACAGAGATCAAGTGACATGGGACAGAGATCCGGTGACATGCACGTTTGCATGTCACCGTGTGCCTTGCGGCCAAAATTCAAATTTAAACATTACAAAAAAAATCTGAAAAAAATCATGCATGTTCACAGCACATATATATATATATTAAGATAACCCCTAAAAAATTCAGATCAAAATTCGAAACATACATGAAGAAACAAAAAAGTTTTTTTCTTCATGTATGTTTCGAATTTTGATCTGAATTTTTTAGG